ATTTGTCATCATTAGGAAAAGCTCTTCAGTTTCTTTGTTTGTGAATTTGACTCTGCTGCAATTAATCTCTCCCGTCTAGTGTGACAAAGTTGAGTGATCAGCTATGACAACTCAAATCCCAACTAGATTTTTATAGGGAGAGGGAAATCGAACCTAGTACCTCAAATATTGGGGTAAATGCTCATAAATCACTTGAGCTATAAGTCTACCAAATTCCAACCAGATTACTAAGGGCCTAATTGGTATCCTACTTGGATCCAATTTTATAAACTTAAAAACAGATTTGTCCCAAAAACCTGTTTAGTGTGCCCATTTTTAAAAACCCAAACCCAATAAAAATTCAAAAACACCCCTATTATTATTATTATTATTATTATAAAAAAAAAGTGAGGTTTTACATTTTCCCCCCTCTCTCTCTCTCCGCCAAAATTGATAGGGTTTATGCCTCATATCTTTTTCCTTTTCTTTTGTTAATTTCAATTTGGGGATTAGGATTTTTGATTTTCTGATTTTAGTTTCAATTTTTTTTAGATCTTAAAAATAGTTTAGAGTTCAATACCAAACAAGTTTTTAGATCTTAAAATTACTATTTGAAACTCATGTTTTTAAAAAGAATCATAGTTTTTTTAGTTTACTTTTTTTTATTAGGATACCAAACATGGCCTAAAGGGTTATATAGGATTTTACCTTGCTAATTAAGCTAATTTACTCTACTTTCCATTGTTTTCATGCACAATTAGAGTTGGGTTGTTAAGAAAACAAATGACAAACTACTATATGGTGATTTTAATATGTTACTATTGTCTGCATATTTGCCTGCATGCCCTTTGTGGTATGTAATTCATCAGTCCAAACTATTTTTCTTTTTATTCTTCTTCTAGCTTGGAAATTTCTAGCACTACCAAATATGGTTGGTTACCCTGAATTTGTTGTGCTTCTATCTGTAAATTAAATTAGAGTTACTTATCAAGCGTTACTTCCTTTTAATCTTATTTGGGTTGTGCTTTCCATATCTGTATTTTGCCATCTTTATTTGAACATACATCAATTTTCTACAAATTTGAACCTTTGGAAATGTATACACACAGCCATATCGATCATGGTTAGAACCTTATGAAGTATATATCAAGTAACTCTTACTTTAGGGTTTTTTCTCTTTGTAAAATTAAAAGATGTTTCAAGCTCGAAGCTTCTCTCCTCGCTCGCTGATTGTTGAAAGAAAAAGTTTAGGGAATATATGCACATTTTGGTGCAAATTTCAAAAATATTTCTCATTTATTTCAAGCATGTGTGCCTACTACCCAGCCCAAGAAAACATAAAGAGATACTTGATAGCCTTATATGGTGAATGGGCCCAATTGATGAAACGCACCGTATTGGGGCGACGGCGTCTGCACTCATAATCCAACAAAGACATATCTCATCGTCATTAAGAAATCACAAACACCGTATTCAATTCAGCGATTGCGTAGTCGAAACGCTGCGTTTCATCTTTCCCAATTAGAGAGAGAGAGAGAGAGAGAGAGAGAGAGAGAGCGCGAAAGAGAAAGAGAGGAACTTGAGGTTGAGCTCTGTTGGCGGGAAAACCCCAACCGGTTCGCGTACTGTATTGTGCGGTGTGCAGTTACTATTCTGTAGGAGAGGCAAGAGGTTACTAATGAAGTAATAAATAGAGTAAAAAAATTGGAGAAACATAGTATAGCCGAGCGGCTATACTATTTCGTCGAAAAAAATTGGGGGAACCTTGTATAGCCGAGCGGCTATACTATTTCTTTAAAAAAATTGGAAAACCGGGTATAGCCTATTTCTGTAAACAAAATTGGGAATAGCCGCACGGCTATACTATCTCTTTTAAAAATTGGGGGCAACCGGGTGTAGCCGAACGGCTATACTCTATAAATAGAATATTTTACATGAGGTATGCAAATGATTGGCTATTCCTGGGTCTCTATTCTCATTTTTGGTAATCATACTTTTTCTCTTACTACTTTAGCTTGATCTCAAATTCACACATTTGTTTTTGTATTGTGCAAGAGTTATGACTCGAATAGGTTTGGATACTCACGTAACTCCACCTAGGGTTTTACGATTAGGGTTTCGATCCCAATATATGGTTAGTACGACATAATTGGACCTAACCCTATACTTGAGTGTGCCTTGAGGTAGATTTTAACAAGTGGTCATATAGTCGCGCGACTATACTCTATAAATAGAATATTTTAAAGGCTTAAGTGCTACAGTGCCCCCTGGAACATTGGTCAATTCTTACTTTACCCCCTCAAAGTTAAAGTAACCCACTTTGCCCCCTTGACCAATGTTTCATGTTTCACTTAACCACTTGCCGTCTACGCCATTCCAAATTCCGTTAAACCAATGACGTGGCAGAGGTAGTTTGGTCCATTCAACTGAGCTTGGATTTTTCCCACCAATCTGAGGGTGTGACGTGTACATGTGGAGCCCACCTCTAACATCTGATATAGCTCCAACGGATTGATTGCCTGCTGATATGGAATTTGGGGACCCATCTAACAAAACAGCCACGACAATCAGTGTTAGAACTCAAAAATGAAAACAGAAAATCAGATTGGGAGGGAAAATTGAGATTTGGGGATTATAGATCTAGGGTTTGAGAATAAGGATCGAGAAAGGGAGAGCGCTCTCAGTTGGTTTCGACAACTTGAAGGCAAGAAGAAGCGACGCGACTGACTCGACTCGATGACGATGCCCGTTTGGCGAGAAGCAGGAGCAGGGCAACCTATGTACGGTAAGTGATTCTTCTTAAAAGGGACCTGTTTTCTGAAAAGGAATCTTGTCCTTTGACATGGAAAAGAATCTTGACATGATAGTGATACGCGATTGTGTAGAAATTGATAGGATTTAGGTCTTTTTGTGTTATGTGTTGTCGGCAGAGGGGGTTCTAAAGCAGTATACCTTTCCTGATGTGGTCCCGTTTTTGTTTTCTTATAGTTAGGTTTGAATATGTTAATCGAACCATGGTTGTTGTCTTGCTTTTAATAAGTGTCTTAGAATACTATTTAGCTTTTGTTAAAAACAAACCCTTTTTGTTTCTGTGTAAAGGACAAAGAATTGGTAACTTTTGAAGTGCATCATGGTGGCAGAATTGTGAAAAACAAACATAATAAGTGGTGTTATACTGGTGGGTCTGTAGGATATTTGGATTAGTGTACTGTAGAGTATATAAATATGTTAGAAATGTGGGAGCAAGTGAAACTGCTTGGGCACATGAAGAAAGTATCTCTTAAAGGAGTAGTAAATGAGGAGTTATTGGATATATACAGGGATGCTGATATGTTAAGTTTGTGTGATAAGGTACCACTTTCTTATAATAGGAAGGTGTTGCAGTGAATGAGGATTGTGAAGAGGTAGCTGTGGCATTGAATGAGGATAGTGAGAATATTGGGCCTGGTAATGATGAAAATAGGGCTTCTACTGAAGGCAGTGGGCCACTGAACAATGAAAAAGAGGGCCGACCTTTTACTGAGCATCATGGGCCTGCTTGCAAAGTTGAAGACTGGGTTTCAAGTGATGATGATGGGCTCCTGAACAATGAGGGTAGTAGGGCTGATATAGGTGACACTGATGTGGAAGACAGTGAAGAAGAAGACAAGGAAGAGGACCCTGATTTTGTTGACAGTGCTTATGAGCAGAGTGAAAATGAATGTGAGTTGTTGAGAAAGGACGATAAAGCATTTGAAAATTATGTAGACCAGCCAGAAGTAGTTGAAGACCCAAATGCCCCTGTAGATGAAGATCGGGAGTCAACTGATGTAGCTAAAAGTGATGTTGAGAGCTTGGATAGTAGCTCAGATGATGAGGATGATGAGAACCAGAAGAAAAGGAAGAAGAAATTGCATACATTTCAAGAATTTAGGCCTGATACAGACATGCGCAACCCTGTGTTTAAGGTGGGTTTAAGGTTTGCAACCACTGACCTATTTAGGAAAGCAATTAGGAACTATTCAATTGTGAACAGGAGGATGATTAAATTCAAATGCAATGATCGTGACAGGGTGAGGGCAGTGTGTTCAGGAAATTGTAAATGGGTTTGTTTTGCTTCTGCAGTTAATGGTAGTGACTGGGTTCAATTGAAGAAATTGGTTGATGAGCATGATTGTGGGACAGTTGATCACAACTTTCATGCTAACTCAACATGGTTAGCTCAAAGATATGCTACTCAACTGTCTAGAAAGCATAATTGGGATATGAGAACTTTTAAGCAGCAGGTACGAGAAAATTTGTCTGTGACAGCTTCTAAATCCCAAATATATAGGGCAAGGCAGAAGGCAATATCCATATATGAGGGGACTTATGAAAAACAATATGAATTATTATGAGATTATGCTGTTGAACTAAGAAGGACAAATGTGGGTAGCACAGTCATTATGAAATGTGAGTTGGAAGGTGAAAGACCAAGGTTTCAGAGGATTTACATTTGCTTGGCTGCAGTTAAACAAGGGTTTTTGCAGGGATGTAGGTCAGTTATAGGATTTGATGCTTGTCATATAAAGGGTCATCACCCTGGACAATTTTTATCTGTTGTTGGTGTGGATCCTAACAATGGCATGTATCCTATTGCGTATGCAGTGGCTGAGGTGGAGAATTATGAAACATGGTCATGGTTTTGTCAACTGTTGGCAGAGGACCTTGGAATCGAAAACAGCTGCGGATATATCTTTATCTCAGACAAGCAAAAAGGCTTGATTGATGCAGTACATGATCATTTTCCAAACGCTGAGCACAGACACTGCCTCAAACACTTAGAATCAAATTTTTTGCTTGCTGGTCATAGAGGATTGGTGTTGAAATTGCAAATGAAGAAAATCGCAAGGAGCACAACCATCCCATGGTGGGATGCTGAGATGAAAAATATGTGACAGCTGAGACAAGCTGCATTTGATTGGGTGGCGGCCTTAGATCCATCACAATGGTGTAGAGCTCACTTTAAAACTCATTCCAAGTGTGACATCCTTTTGAATAATATGTGCGAGGCTTTTAACGGTGCCCTTGTAGAAGTACGAGACAAACCTATTTTAACCATGCTAGAGAGAATTAGATACTATATTATGTTGTTGATAGCAACTAGAAGAGCATCTTGTGAGAAATGGAAACATGCCGTTAGTCCAAGGATTTTTGGGATTTTGGAGAAAACGAAGAAAGAATCAACTTGGTGCATTCCAAAGCTTGCTGGGGAGAGTTTATATGAGGTCAAAAACCATGATGGAAGTCAGGTTGTGGTTGATTTGGCAAGGCATTGTTGTTCATGTAGGAGATGGGATATTACTGGGATCCCATGCAAGCATGCTTGTGCTGCAATTGGCCAATTAAATGGGGATCATATTGCTTATGTTGATGCTTGTTACAAGAAGGAGGCCTTTATGAGAGCTTATGGTCTAATAGTTCATCCAATGACAAGTGAAGACTTGTGGCCTAAGTGTGATAGGCCTCCTTTGATGCCACTACTTTATCACAAACAACCTGGGAGACCAAGGAAGAAGAGGATGAGGTCAGCAGGTAAACAACCAAGCAAATCTAATCCTACAGCCACCAAGTTGCAAAGGTATAACTTGAAAACCAAGTGTTTACTTTGTAGACAAGGAGGCCATAATAGGAGGAGCTGCCCTAAGGCAAAAAAAGGTAGCAGCAGTCAGGTTTGTCTCTTCCAAAAACACATTGGCAATGCATTTTTTTTTTTGGATGTTTATTATTTTTTTATTTTCAAGTGATTCTCTACTTACGTTAGGTCCCATGTAAACGAAAGGTTCAGAAATCTGCCCAAGATACGACATCAACCAAAAGGGTTACAAGACAATCAACAGCTAAGCAACCTGTAAGCCTCCTTTATTTTTATTGATATTAAGAGGATGAGGTATGAGATGTAGTTGATGTAAATTGGAATCCTTTTCAATTTGTAGGTGAGAAGAAGGTTGGAAACTGGCCAGTGTTCTCAAACTCCACATGGTTCTGAAACAGGCCAAGCTTCCCAAACTGCCCCAGCCCTAGCATCTCAAATAGCCCCAGCCCCAGCACCTCAAACTGCCCCACCTTCAGTACCTGCCCAAGCATCTCAAACTGGCCAAGCTTCAAACACTCCCAAAAAAAAAGAGGTTTAAGTCTCCTGCAAAGAGGATTAAATTCCCCAAAAGAAGGATGGTTCTCAAATCTGCAAGGCTCTCAATCTGTGCAAGGAACTGAATCTGTGCAAGCTTGTCCAGTTTCTCAAACTGCCCAAAGTTTTCAACCTGCCCAAAGTTCTCAACCTGCCCAAACTACTCAATCTGTGCAAGGATCTCAACCAAGTGCAAGCTTATCACACCCTTTTGCCAGTGGTCCAAGCAAAAAGATGTTCAAATCTCCTGCCAAGAGGATGAAATTTACCAATCGGAAGGATTTGGTGGATGGTTATTAGCCTTGGAGATTCTGATCATGTGAAAGTGTTTTGTGTTTTGTTAAAATGCCTCTTATGAAGACCTTTTCATTCCACTTTTGTTTTACATGTACAACTATTAAGGACAAGTGTTAAGGACGAACATTTGAAATGGGGCTTTTGATTGAACTATTATTTTGCAAGTCCAACTATTAAGAACTTTATTAGTAATGTTATAAAATGGTTATAAACTGTGAGGATTTGATCAATGTTATAAACTGTTGCAAGTGTTTGTGGTACTGTTCATTTGGTAATGCTTTTCATACCATTACATATGAGGTCAAAATCCAATAAGTAACTCCCACATTGTGTTCAACAACCACATTCATTACATAAGTACCAATACATTGTTACATCCAGTTGCAAATGGAAACCATGTTCCTCCATCATTACATAGCTACCAAGACATGATTTTTTACATACAGTTGCAAAATTAGACTTGTACAATCTGCCTAATTCCTCCATTGCAATGGCCACATTTTGTGCCAAGTTGTTACAGACATTGCCAAAACAAAACCATTACTAAACCCCATGAAAGAATAAGCCAACCCCATTAACTTTCTTTCTCTTTTAATAAAAAAAATTAACAGGATTCACAAACTTTCAACAACATAACTTACCCCTGATGAGTTTGGACAAACATGGAATCTTCGAAGTGGGTTCGCCTCAGTCCATGAAGTTTGTAAGTGAGCTATCTTCCCACAAAAGCAACGCGGTGCCGCCACATCCAACTCTTCCCCTCTGTCAACTATTTCAGTCTTCATCTTCAATTTTCGTGGAACCCAACCTCTGATTTCTAGGGTTTTAGAGGAAGCCAATTTGGGGTTTTTTTGGTTTCGTAGCTAGCTGAGATCAATTAGAACGTTGGAGCTATATCAGATGTTAGAGGTGGGCTCCACATGTACACGTCACACCCTCAGATTGGTGGGAAAAATCCCAGCTCAGTTGAATGGACCAAACTACCCCTGCCACGTCATTGGTTTAACGGAATTTGGAATGGCGTAGACGGAAAGTGGTTAAGTGAAACACGAAACATTGGTCAATGGGGTAAAGTAAGTCACTTTAACTTTGAGGGGGTAAAGTGAGAATTGACCACTGTTCCAGGGGGCACTGTAGCATTTAAGCCTATTTTAAATGTATAGCCGCGCGGCTAGACGCTTGAAATAGCATAATCTAGATTTCTCTTTTTTAATTACTTTAATTAGTTCTTATGTTTTAATTATTATTTACTTAGTGAATAATTAGTATATAATTATTTTATTAAAGAAAAAATATTATATTAATTACTATTTATCAAGTAATATAATTTATGAAGTTAATTAAAATATTTAGTACTAATTATTCACTAAATAAATAATAATTAAAATATAATTACTAATGAAAGTAATTAAATAAGGCTAAAATATTATTTAAATACTAAAAATAAAATTTATTGACTTAAAGATACTAGGTTTAAATTTATTTTTTTTAAAAACTCTCTTGACGAAATTCAGTGGGCACAAATCTATCATGAGGAAACTTGGCCGGATTAGACCTTCAAGTAATTGGTGAAGTCCTAAGTTCAATTTACTGACTATAATAATCTATGTTTATATCTGCAAGAGAGGGAAATTGAACTTAGGACTTCAAGTATATATTATAAATGCTCTTGCTCTTAATCACTTCAGCTACAAACTCCTTGCATTACAACAATTTTTTAGATAAACAATATACGTTCTTAATTTCTTTTTTTCTTTTTTACAAACCATAGAATATTTACAAAGATATTTTAACAACGAATTAATGCACAAACAACAAAGTTGGGCTTGTCAGGATTAGATATGGATATGTTATCCTTGCACTCATGTGAGTCGAATTTAAGATCTCTTTAATAAAGCGAAAACAATAATCACTAGACCAAACACTAATCGGTTTTTTTTTTTTGTTTGTTTGTTTGTTCCTTCCTTTCACTAGAAGGGAACTTTTTGGTTTTGCAAGTTTGAAAGACTAGATAAAAGTAAATCAATAATATTTGTAACCTTAGTCTCCATTTGGATGGAGGGATTCCACATCCATATGACCCCATTTGGTTCAAGGAATGGATTTGAGGAGAAATCACTTCTCATGTCATTTCCTAAAGGATGAGAAATAGAAGATTCATTTTCCACGTTCGGTAATGTCATGAGAGTAATAAGGAGATTTCACTTTATTTCATTTCCCATGTTTGTTTTGAGTAGGAATGGAAAACAAAATTTGTATAATTTTCCAATTATACCCATATTAAATCAAATAAAAAAAAGAATGTATTTAATGATATATTGTAATTCTAAATTGTTTTTAGAAATAGAATTCATTCATAGAACCAAAGAAGTACAAAGAACGACATGATATAGTGGCCTCGTTAAAACCTTCCTAGGACAACCTCATGGGACAAACCTTAGGGGAGAAAAGAGTACCACACATGTCATGGACTAACAAGAGAATCCCATTCAAGTCACTTTGAACCATTACAATAAAAGAACAAATCAAAAATGAAAACTAACACATAGACCTCTAACTGTCAAAAGAAGCCTTCTATGAGCAAAATCATAGTCCTTTAGCACCCACACAAATTGCAAGGCATACCATAGAAGAGACCAGGAGAGAACACGCAGGAGGAACACATAAACAACAGTAAAAGGACCCTTGAGAAGCACTCCACTTCAACTCAGAACCGAACAAAGAAAACCTCTTATGATCAAGCATAGTTCTTTGGTCGGTGCAGAGTAGAGAAGAGCACCACATCCCAACAACTACCACCAACGTCGCTGTTGCCGCCTTGTGAGAATCCTTATTCTTAAAAATGTTAATATTTTATTTTGGTAAGTATTAAAAATTATAATTATTTTATGAAAGTATATGTTTTATTTAATGCAAATTCAATAATTTTGATGATATTCTTAAAACATGCTTTTAATATTTAATTCTATTCAATGGTAGTAGGATTTTTGTCCTTAGCTATCTAGAGTTTCATGCATGGTTATGTAATTGAGTTAATACACTCCACGTAGTTAGCATGTGTCAATCAAATATGCATTATTATTATTCTATTATATATATATATATATACATATATCTTATTAAATATGTATATATGATGCATGATATTCTTATTCAATTAGTATTAATGTATGCATGCTTAATCTTTGATAAGTATAGCTACGTGTAGTCATTGCTGTTATGGTTATGCTTAGTCATTGTTAGTATAGTATGTGTCAAAGAAAAATAAATGCTTAGTAAGCATAGCTATATACTAGCTCTGTCAATTCACCAAAAAAGGTTGTATAGGATTGGAGGAATTAGGAACTACCTTATCTACACAGCTAGACCACCGCATTAATATAACTTGGATGGTAAGTATTGTAAACCGCCAAACACCATCCAATAGGAAGGGAGTCACAGCCGACTTACTCCTTGTATATATATAGGACATTAAGTTGCACAACAAATGCAAACAAAGAAAACGAGAAAGAAATATTGGTAGAGAGAAAAAGAAAGAGAGAGAGTGGTAATAATATTCTTGGAGGAGTTAGAGGTCGGAGCTTGTGTTTTCTTAACTTGGAGTTAGCTTTGGAAATAAGGTAAGGGTTTCTTGGGGGACCTTTTACAAAGATTGATTTAATTAAATTTCGTGAGCTCTGTATTATGAATATTTTTTTGATATTATATAATGTTCTGGATATTGGATGTTTATAAAATATTAACTATTTGGTTAATGTAGTACTGTTTGATTTACGTTCCTTGTATTGGATAGACTCTTAACTGTTTGAATAATGTGGGCATGATTATATGTACATTGGTGATATTTAAATGATTACATTGTTTTTATGAGATATGTGAACTATATAATGTCATGGAAATTATTTGGAGTTCTTGGGTTGAGAAAATAATGGTGGAAAAAGAGGGTAATGGGAATGATCTTTTGTGTAGTTGAGTCTAACTCTTGGCAGGTACCAGGTCTCAGGGATCCCACAGTGCACATGGTTTTTATTGGGTGATTCGGGACTGGCGAAAGGGAGTTAGACAAGATGACTAACAAAAGGGGAAATTATGGATGATTAAAATAGGTGTTAGTTCATATAAATGGGCATTCGAGACCAAGTGGTATAAGCATGGTATGAGACGTGCAGGTCTGCATGTCCAGTTATATGAATTAACGGGATTAGATGAAGAGCATTCATGCATTGTTACTAATAATGTGAAATTTGGCTGCTTGATTATTTGTCACTTAATTTAATTATATCAATTTATAGTAAAAAGGTTTATGTCCCTACTAAGCTGTGGTTTCGCTCACCCCCTAATAGATTTTGCAGGTACCGAACCTGAAATCTAGAGCTTGTGATGATTTTTGGCATGTCTATAGAATGTAACATAGCTTGTGGTTGAATAATGAGCTACTCTTTAAGTGAACTCTCGAGTAGTTCTAACTTGTAAAATAATGTAAAATTTTTATGGTTTCAAACGTGTTATCGTTTCCGCATTTCTGCTGAATATTTTATGTGAAATATCTATTTTATTTATTTAAATGTCTTCTTCACATTTTAGTTATAGTTTTTATTAAATTCTATAATTAAGGTGTGAATCACGTCGTAACCCAAGGTTTTGTAAATCCGAGGGTTGGGGTGTGACACGCCACCTTTGAAACAGAGATAAAACATTAGCCACCAGGTATCACAATTCTCCCAAGGAGAGACACAATCCAGCATCACCACATAAACAATAGTAAAAGGACCCCTGAGAAGCACTTCACTTCAACTCAGAATCGGACAAAGAAAACCTCCTATAACCAAGCATAGTTCTTTGCTCGCCGCAAAGTAGAGAAGAGCACTACATCCCAACAACTACCACCAACGTCTCTGCTGCCATTTCTATTGAAACAGAGACAAACATTAGCCATCAGGTATCACAACTCTCCCGAGAAGAGACATAATCCAATGTCACTACTGTCATCGTTGTCTAGACAAAGACAACACCATCTACCTAGAACACTGCAAAAATAATCAAACAAAACAAACAGACCTAGATCCAAACAGATCTAGACTATGTGGGTTGGGAAATGGGAGGAGAAGATGGGATAAGAGGAAGGGAAAAGATGGGAGAAAAAGAACGAGAGATGAGGAGAGAAAAGGGAAGATAGGCTGAGGGGAGGAGGAGCAGTGGCCACCTCCTCCCTTAGCTTCCCTGCGGTTGGTTGTCGGTAAGGAGAAAGGGGACCATAGTGCGGCTAGGGTTTCTTTTTTTATTAGGACTTTGTTTGTAATTCTAAATTGTTAATGAGAACAAAATGGTTATTAAAAATGTACCTTTAATTTTGGTTCATTTTTCCAAACTTTCCCATGACGAGGGAAAACAAAACCCAAGTTGGGAGGAGGGCTTCACTTTCCCCCTTACTTTCCTATGTGCCAGGCAACCATTTCTCATGCCTGTACTTATCAAACATGGAAAATCAATTAATTTCTCATCCCCAAGCCTTATTTCTCATGAATCAAACGGGGCCTATATGGATTTAGATGACATTATAAGGTAAAATCGCTTATTTAGGCTATTACAATCCACCTATGCCAAGATGTGTGTTAGTACGAAAATTGTATTGTCATTTCCTAGACTCTAGCATAGGTTGGGAGTTAGTGTGTGAATATCGTTTACTAGACGTTTTGCCGCAACACATTCAATCCCAAGTTTCTGAAGCATGACTTGACCGATATGAAAAACTGATTTCAGGTAAATCATGACATAATCATGCATTCATTATAGGATTCCTAGTTGGAGTTTTTTTTCACTCAAAGTATTTTTATCTTAATCTTATTTTTAATAGGATTAGATTTTATCTCTTGAGATTACTTTCCTAGTTGGACTCTATTTTGATTTAAGTTTTATCTTTTCCCGTTATGACTTGCACGTTGCTCATCTCCTACTTGATTGGTCAAATTAGTTTGTTTTAGGAGATATTGTTTCTCGCACAAAGATTGGTTGTTTGGCATTATCATTTAGAGTCCACACTAGATCAAAATTGATATTCATGATTGATACTATTTGTAGTCTCATGTTTGGCGTCCTTATAGGTAGTTGATATTGAATCAAAGTTATCATTCTTAATTGCATGGTAGTGTGTCTTGGTTTTGACGTGATTGACTTGAGTCCATATTGGATCAAGCTTGACAATCACATTGGAATAGAATTGTTGGACTATTGGGTTTCTCTCTTACTAGAGAGAACCTGCTTTGAATAAATTGGGTGTCTTTATTTTCACATACGAAGTTTTTGAGATATGGTTTGCATAGATTGAATTTTCAAGTGAAAGCTCCTGCGCATATTTTTGGAGATAAGTCATCAAGTGCTCCTTGTTTACTTGGTGATTTATCAAATCATTTCTTCATTCATATTGCATTCATATACATGTCGGTGACTCATACGGTTGAGGGCATCAAGACCGTGGTGGCGGTTTTCCTCCGGCGAGCTTGAAGCAATCGTGACCAGTATTGCGTTCAACATAAGGAGTGTCGAAGATCATCTCGTGACAGAAGTTGAGTTACGAAGAAGTCGGTAAACATTATATAGAATGTGTCTAGGATAAGTGCGTGAGTACTTCTTGTAATCTTTGTTCTATAGTGGATTTGTGTTGGACTGAGGAGTCCCGTGGATGTCCCTAGAGGTGGGGTTTTACCACGTAAAATAATTCTCTGCGTATTCTTTTACTTTAAGCTCTGCACATCCTAGGATTTATAACTCATATCAATCATGCTTTAAAAGTTAATTGTTGTTTATTGCAAAATATTCGAATTAGCCTGTTTAACCTTCTCTAGGCATATATAGACATCCTACAGGTATTTTCAATGTGGACAAGGAAAAAAGGAAGAAAAAACAAATGGATTTCAAATGATTCTTTGCATATAGTCATTTCAATAATCTAATATGGTTATTGTTTTTATAAGCAAAGTTAATCTTGTTGTCAAATCCAAATCATTTATTTCAAATTCATCCATCCAAATAAAAACCTTAAGGTGTGTTCGAGTGAAATACTACATAATTGCATTTTCGAAATATTATATTTCTTCTTTAATCCAAACATAATTGCATTTCCAAATAATTCTATTTCTTCTTTTATCCGTATATATCATTGCATTTCTAGAGGTATTCTATTTCTTTTATCCTTGTGGTGATACATTTGAAGTTTCACATTTGGAATGACAGAAATCTTTCATATATAAACTCTTTTAAGATGACAGAAATCTTGTCACATCAAACATTCATACAAAGGTGTTTGATAGAAGCAAAATGGAGGCAAAGAGAGTTAGGGCTATAGTGATAGTTTCCTTGGTGCTTGGATTGCTCATGGGACAGTCCACAGCTTCTAAATTCAAAGACTGCTATGAAGTATGCTTTGCTACATGTTTCCCTGAGAAAAAAGACCCTATCTATTGTGGTGGCCATTGCTTGAGAAAATGCATTTTCCATCCTTCTTCTTTGGACACCCAAACATACCCCAAACACTTCTGCAAGCTTGGTTGTGCTACTTCTTTATGCAACAATATAAGCACCAAAGATAATCATAGTAAGTGAATATTTATATAGATTTGTGTATATGTGCAAGAGTGTGCTTTCATGTTGGTTTATGTGCTAATTATTTTTTATTTTTTGTCAGATGGAGGAAAAGTAGAGACTTGTGTGGATTCTTGCTCAAGGACTTGCACTGCTACTTACAATGCAGGAAAGCATTAAATTTTAGACATGTAATAAAATTTCAGACAAAAAATAAGAACTTTTTCATTATTGTCTCATAAATAATTATATTTATGCCAAATAATTAGTTGTTTAATATATAAAAAAAAAGTTCCAAATATCAATGTGGTGGTTGATCTTGAACCCTTTCCACCATCCGTCAAATAAAAATGAAACTTCCAGTATGTTTACTAACTTGCAATCGGAGTAATAATGAATCACCTCAAACATACCCATTGAAGTGTTTATTAACTATCTCAAAAAGTATGACTGACGGTATAACTTGAAAATTGAGAAAATGAATGCCAAATATCTCTTACCATAAGGCCATCTTCAGCAATGGACTATATCCCAAATATAGCCCTAAAATAATGCAAAACCCATCTCCAGCCATAGGCTAAACAAAATTTTGGCTAAATTTGGAGGGCCACATTTGGCCCTTTAGTCCTCCAACCGGGCCACATTTAGCCCAGCTTTGGCCTAGTCCTAGGCTAAATTTTTTGTGGGCTCCGTGTATGTGCTTTACATTGATGATGTTAGCTGGATATATATATAAGCCTTTTTAAATGTTTTCAATTCGTAAAAAAATTATAAAAAATTATTAGTCATGACCGTTGGATGTCAAACCATTGAAACCCATCCTTAAAAAAAAAATGTAGTCACCTTTTCAAATGTTTTCAAGTGTTGTTTTAAAAAAATTATAAAAAATTCTTGGTCATGGAATATTGTCTCTAAATAGTAGTTTAATTAAATTAAACAATACATAGTTGTGGAATGGATGTGTTGCACCATAGTTTTTTTCAAAATAATAAAATATGAAGGACCTTAAAATATAGCCATGCATGGCTGAAGATGGAAAAATTTAACCCTACACTATTCTTTAAAAAATTAATATTTTGAAGGGCAAAATTTTTAACCATGAACTATATTTAGCCCTATGACTGGAGATGGCCTAAGAGTCGGAAAAATACTATTATGTCTGTTAAGTATTCATATGTGGCCAATAAATACCAAAAAATGAAGCATATTCCAAAGGCCTTTTTAAGAATAATTACATGAATAAATTGATGATTAATAGTTTCAGGAAATAAATTACAAAAAGGTTAATCTTGGTGTCTATAATTATATTGCTTGAAAATGAGTGCTATTTTCGCCAAAATAGATTATTCGCATGCATTTTCCTAAAAGAATTAAAAAAAGTGGAGGCCCCGACGCAAATACTCCAAAATATTGGGGTCGTAGCACAAAACCACTAAACACAGTACAGCAACAAATACAAAGCAGCTGAGGAAAATCCAAAGCAAAACCCCAATTTCTTAATGGACTTGGTTCGAACCATTCCAGTGCCCTCCAAGTGAAAGAGAAGCTAACAGTAAGTAATTTCAGTCTGTAATTACTTTCTTCCTGCTATTAGGGTTGACCTTTTTTTCCCCAAACGCAACGGTAAAACTCAAGAACGCCCATTTCGTTCATCAAGTTTTCTTTTCTTCTCCTATAATTTTCATCGGTGATGCAAGAATTTTCCTTTCTCTGTAATTATCTACATTCCTCTCTCTGTGTTGTGAATTGAAAATTTTAATTGATTTCATGCCGTCTCATACTACATGAACTGCCAAGCCTCAAGATTGTTTAACTTTCTTTGGCTTGTTTGATATGCTTAGAATTTGTAACAATTTGTGAGTAATTCAGTAATGTTATCGTTTGTAGGCATATGTCATGGTGGAGCTTGTGGAAACCGTGATGATTTTTACTGCTAGCCTATCTGGGTACCTGTCCATTGTGCATAGCTTTTGATTAGAATCTGGGGCATATGAGTGGTCATGTCTCATTCGAAAACAAGCCAGGGTGATGGTTCCAATAATGCTGGGAAGCGAAACCTTCCTTCATGGATGAGTTCAAGAGACAATGAGAGTGAGTCTGTTGGAAAGAAACCAACTCGGGCTGGTGAATGTGAGGAGAGTAACGAGGGTGCAAAGCCCAGGCTAGCCAAAGGGCGTGGAGGTGCATCCAGTTCGGGAACCACACAATTTTCCAAACTTATGGTACTGGATAGTATGGAATAAGATTCACCAAGTTGCATTTTCAATATGTCACGTAACTTGACAATGTTAGGCTAATATCATAGTTGTTATCTGCCCAGGAAGGAGTAGTGTTTGTACTGTCTGGGTTTGTTAATCCTGAGCGCAGCATTCTGCGGTCACAGGCCTTGGAAATGGGAGCAGAATATCAGCCTGACTGGAACTCAGATTGCACTCTCTTGGTTTGTGCATTTCCAAACACCCCAAAGTTTCGACAAGTTGAGGCAGATTGTGGAACTATAGTTTCAAAGGTTCTTATTTTTGTTTCAAATATATACAATTGTCTTGTGTATGATATTTAATTTTGCTTCCATATAGAAACATTGTTTTTAGTCAACACTGATGGTTCATAACTTAAGGCAGGCTACAACCAATTAAGTGACAATTTCATGGCCTTTTGACTTTTTTATACAAGTACTTGTTGGTAACTTATGCCCTGTAAAGACAATTTTTAAGGAAAATTAGCTTGAAGCTAAAGTAAAACTTCTACGGTATATGCTTTGAACTGTGGCATGCACTCATTACATATTCTGTAGTATTATTATCTTGTCTCAAAAGATAATTTATCTTCAGATATTGACTTGTATTTTTAGTTGTTGCGGTAAGTTTCACTTAAGTTACTATGTTCTCAGTTCTGATATTATGGTTTGTTTAGCTTAACATATGCTGTCTTATACAAGTCCAATCTCATGAAAAAAGGGCAATTAGTTTTCTCTAATAAACGCAACACTGATGCTTCAGCAATTATTTTAGGAATGGTAATTTAATCTTTGTAATTATCTAATGGTATCTTATTTGCTCATATTAGGATTGGATATCAGAGTGTTACACACAGAAGAAGCTTGTTGATATTGAAAGTTACCTTATGAATGCTGGAAAACCCTGGCGTAAAAGCAGTGTTTCCCATGACAACAGCCAAGGTAAAGGAATTGTGCTTGTGTGTTGGCATTTAACGTTTTTAGCAAGGGTATCTGTTATATGCGACAATTCTGTACAACAAAATGCATTCTTGTATTCATTTTTCATTTGTTTTAAATTATTTTCATTGTTTATGTTATTGAAGTTTTTAATGCCTCATGTTAAGTTTAACTCCTCAAATCTCATTTAGGATGTCTTGGTTGGTCACCATGTGGTCTTAGATTTTTATTGTTGTTGTATGTACGGTTAATCCATGCTTAAGTGACTGTCTGCAGACAAAAAGGCATCCCAACCTAGAAAATCGAAGAAGCAAGATGGAGATTCACCATCAAAACCAACTGCATCATCAAATCCAAAGGTATTTTTTGACCAGGCTAGCGTTAAAATGTCCTATAAATATATAAACAAATAATGTCAAACTGTGTTTTCAGTCTTTCCTTTGTCAACTTTTTAGATTTATGGCAGCGGCATTTCTCTATATACCAATGCAGTTATGTTTCTTGTGCATATGTTTAGCAGGTTAAAGCTTCTAATTCTGTTAAGGAGTGCTTTTCTCCTTCTAAAGTGAAGAAGTGGGCAGTTGACGATTTGAATAAGACAATTTCATGGCTGGAGAGTCAAGAAGAAAAGGTTGTTGGCATTCTACTTTTGTGCGTCTGTGTTTGTGCATTTCCTGAAAATATAATTTTGTTTTTGTATTGTCGTCAGTGAGTCTGCTGGTTCTCTTTTTGTTTTGTTTTGTGGTCCACACAGTCTGCTGGAGTTGAAAACGATATTTTTTAGATGCTGAAGCTTGTGTAAACACACAATTATAACTTCTAGTTGTCTTCTTCTCAACCCATTGATACTAGTGGTTGAGAGGTGTAAAATTTTGTGTTTTTTAAATTTGCCTCTTTCAACTGTATACAAGACTTGCCGTATCTCCTTAATAAAGCTGATCTTTGTTGTGCTCTACCACCACTTACAGCCAGAGCCAGATGAGATAAACCAAATAGCAGCTGAAGGGATTTTAACTTGTTTACAAGATGCAATAGATTCTCTTGAACAAAAGCAGGTATTCCTACAGAAACACAGTTTGGTCTTTTTGAAGTAATTTTAAACTTAGTTCTTGCATACTTGGGTTCTACCTCCACCCACTCATGTGAAAAAAGAAAGGGAACAGGAACTTAATTTACAGTTGGAAACATTTATCAATTGTTTCCCTTCACCATTTGAAGGGCAGCGGCATTATTCCATCCCATTCTTTGAGTGAATTAGTCAATGCGGTAAACAATTTTTTTTTTCTTTCTTTTTTTTGGTGTGTGCAGGATGTCCGGCAAATAACTGAGCAGTGGAATTTCATTCCTCGTGTAGTTGAAGAGTTGGCAAAGCTCGAGGGCACGAGAAATGAGTCTGCAGCAGTATCCAAGGAAGATCTTTGCAGACAGGTAATGGAGTGTAAACGAATTTATGAGGTGGAACTTAAGAATTTAGGCGATGACCTGTCAAAGAAGAAGAAGCCAAAGACTGAAAGACAAGAGAGGGACAGTGGGAGAACTGAAGCCATATCCAGTGGTACAGCAGGATACGACAGTGATGAAACAATTGAGATGACAGAAGAGGAAATAGACCTTGCATATAAGAATGTTGTTGCTTCTAAGATCCCCTAATGCTGAGTATTTTCTCTCTGTTGAAGATAAACAGACTGTAAATTTTTTGCATAAATTTTTTATTTTTTTAAAAGAAGAGATGGATAGTTTTGCGTAAGTAGTTGTGGTTAAAGCACGAGACTGTTAGTTATATAATCATGAAAATGGAAGCTTAGAAGATCATAACACCCAATATTGCTAATCTAAAAATTCAGATCTACACCCGCTGAACAAGTTAATATATGTTGCCTCCAATTGAAGGGGTCGACCAAATTGAATTGAGCAAAGATGGATGATTGCAAGGCGTGGTTTATAGGAGAACCCTTTAACGGTAGGAAACCAAGAAACTAATGCAAATCGTTGTCCAAGCTTTTATTAGTGTCCTTTGCAGTTAGAGTTCCAATGAACAAAAATGTTGATGTATGTATTCATTGACTCGACAAAAAATGAATCAAACAACCAAAGAAAATCAATATTTTATATTTATAGGTAAATCTATATATAAAGGAAGAAAAATCAATGGGGTCTTGTCTAGTGGAAAAGGGCATTGACTTGCAGACCAAATGTCTCAGGTTCGAATGCTCATGGCATCAATTGTGTGCATGTATGTGAGAAACCTCCCCCCCTCTAGTTTAGACTATCGCTTGTACTAAAAATAAAAAAAAAAAGAAAAGTCTTTAACCGCTGAAATTTCAAAATTTAAAAAATATACCCTTGATTAACTAAATTAATAAAAGACCACAAATTTTATTTTTCATACAAGCGATAATCTACTTTAAACGAATCTAAATTGCGGAGAGGAGGATTTGAACTCGGGTGCAAGGTGGAGAGCACATAATTTCATAAGAATAAAGTGGTAAAAGACTAAAAGTGTTGTAAACTCCAAAGTTATGGATGTCCACCATAAGTCCATTGTAATTCCTATCATTATATGGTTGTAAACTATGCACTAAAGACTATATCTATCATTTGTAATTACGCTTTGCAACCCACTACTTAAGGGTTGTAAATGGTGATGTATTTCCAATGCCTATAAATAGTAGGCACTAAATATGAATAAGATACTTTTGAGCCTTGAGCTATTGAGAACTACTCTTACCTCTCCCATACTTTCTCTATTTACTTTTACAGCACGAATCCTCTCCCAAATATCAATTGAGTTATATAGAAGAGAATAAAGGGTTCAAAAAAAGACAATCCAAATAACACGTACCACCATTTCATTGTCTATCTCTCATGAAATCACTACACAAGGCCATACTTATACCAAAGAGAGACTCCAGGGATGGAGACTGAAGCATTGGTGGAGTTGTGGTATGCTCTAGAGGGAGATGCTGATGCTGACTCAGAGGGCTAAGACACAAAACAAGAAAAACGAATTCTCGGTGACTATCTAAGAGATCCAATTTTCTTATTGAAAGATGAAATATCAAATTGTTTTTTCTATAAGTGTACACTTAATGTGTTTGAGAAGCGAGACTATCTCCGATCATCTCTTTCAGAAGCGAGACTACCCTTTATCACACCTCCCGTGATCACAAGGGACTATAGGTATACAACTAGATCGTCAGGGGTTCTAGTTTATTTACTAAGACAATCCGAGTTTGAAGAATTTTTTAGCAAAGTTTTCTTACCCTAAGCAATACTTGTGTTATTTCATACTTTTACTTCTATTAGTATTTTGGTATTTTGCTTCTAATAGGTGAAAGCCTTTGTACCTCCTCTTCAGTGATGACAAAATGGGAAGATAAGACCATTCCGGAACAATAGCATGCAAGAAATCGTTCCATAAAAACGACATGTTTTATGTACAAAAGAGTGTTCTAGAAGAATGACTTGCATTATGTACAAAATATCGTTCCAGAAGAATGACTTGGATTATATACAAAAGACCATTCTAGGTGGCTTGAATTATTTTTAAAATTCAAAAGAACTACAAGCACCGAGTAGGGGTGAAATTCTGTTTCATGGATATTGCAATTATGCAAGCCTTTATCTGCAAGAACAATAAGCTTTTAATTTAATGCCATATTTAATTTAATTATTCTATTTCTTGTGTAATTTAATTGTTTAATTAAATTATTAGAATAAAATTGATTGTTGTTCCTCCAAAGGCAAACATTCCCACAAAAAAAGAAGAAGAAAAAAAATTGAATTCTCAGATTGATTTACTATGAAATTTCTCTCTTCAGTATCCGCTTTGAATATGTTGAAACTAACCAATTAATATCAATCAAGTATAAACAAATGCAACAAGGAGGGTATTTTTTCAATAAAGTATAGCCGGGCGGCTATGCCTTTTTTTTTTTAAATCGTATAGCCGCGCGGTTATACTGTATGTTGCCTTTTCGACCTGGTATTTTTGAAAATAGTACCGCCGGGCGGCTATACCAGGGTATTTTTTATTTTTTTAAATAAAACGTATAGCCGACCGGCTTTACTGTGGTATTTTTTAAAAAAATAGTGTAGCCGTGCGGCTATACGGTGGGTTGCCTTCTACCTGGTATTTGAAAATAGTATCGCCGGGCGGCTATACACGAACGGCTTTACTGTGGTTTTTTTATTTTAAAAAAGAGTATAGCCGCGCGGCTATACTGTGGAACTTCTTGACCTGATATTTTTGAAAATAGTATAGCCGAACGGCTAGGCATTTTTTTGTAAAAAAAAAAGTATAGCCGACCGGCTTTACCGTGGTAATTTTTTTTTATAAAAATAATATAGCCGAGCCGCTATACCCTTTATATATATCTTTTTTTTTTAATATAATTTTTTTCCTCTATTTTCCCTTTTAATTTTTTTTACTTTGCCAAAGTTATTATCCATATAAAGAATTTAGCATTTTCACGTTTAATACTCGTATTATACACACATGTATGTATTTTTCAATAATACATCTTATAGACTCGGTAAAATACAAGTTTTTTATGAAGCAAAAGTACAATACTTGTATTGTACAAGTACGTACATATTTTTCATGTTTAATACACAAGTTTTTTTACAAAATTTTCAAGAATACACACAAAATTCACATATTTCACACATAATTTTCACATATTATTGAATTAAAATAATATATATTTAAAAATATAAATAAATTATATTACAAAATGCTAATAATTTTCACCTAATTTTGGTGTATATATCAAAATCTTCCTCAAAATTCACTTCAATTTTCTCTTGAGTTTTTTGTTTTGTTTTTGGTTTCTCACATTAGGAGCCATCAAAAAAGTGTTTGGTTTATGAGCTTTGAGCTTAGTCTCGATTTGTTTACCAGTAGGCGTCCTTGAGTTTTAATTTGGGCCTGAGCCCCTGCTATATTATATTTTGGTGTAGTTGACTTGATACAAGTCATAATGTATAACTCTTGTATCGGAGAAAAGCAATAATAATTTATAGGGTAAACTGCAGTAAACCCCCCAACCTATAGGATCATTTACGAGTTCATACCCGATTTTGGGGATATTTACGAGTACATACTCAACGTCACAGAAAACCTACACATTGCCCCCTCCGTTAGTCAAACTGTTAGTCAGTCTGTTGAATGCTGACGTGCCAAAAATGAGACCCTTTTTTTTTTTTTTTTTTTTATGACGTGAACTTCCACGTAGACTAAAAATTAATTAAAAAAATTATTTTACTATTTAAATTATTTTAATATATATATATATATATCTCTTTCTCTCTCAGAACCCAGACCTAGAACATTAATCAATACCAGAGCCCTCTCCTCCTAGCCTGATCAAATACCAGAATCCGAGCCACCTCACCCCCCCTCTCTCTCTCTCTCTCTCTCTCTCTCTCTCTCTCTCTCTTAATTTGAATGTCTCCATCTCTCTTCATCTCTATGTGGGATTTGCAACACAACATGGAGCCAATAGATCTAGACCCCCTCGTTTCGATGATGAGATCGGAGATGTCGACGATGACCTAATTGGCTGAAGCTCAAATTAATCACTGAATCGCAAAGAAACAGCTCAACAATATTCGAATTTCCGCGATAATCAAACTAGATCAGACTAAGGCTCACCTTGAAATGGTCTCTTTGTTCTTCTTGAGTCCACCCTTGTGAGCCTTCGCTCAGATCTGGTGCAGTGCCGACATGCTTCCTTTTATATGACTGTAAAATTCCACCATACTCTCAGTATCATACATTCGTCCACAAATCCATGAGCAAAAGAAAAAAAAACAAAAGATGAAGAAGAAATTATAGGAAAACAAACTTGGAGAGGTAGAAATCGAGATCAAGGTGGTCCAATTTGGCGAGCTGGGGCTCGGTCATGCGCTTCTTGTTACTCACTTTGGCGGTCGACATCGTTACTAGGCTTTGGAGGTTGAGGTTTTGGTTTAGAGGTTGAAGAAGCTTTTTGAGTTGCAGAGTGAGATTCGCGAGCGCTCAAATTGGCTTTAGAGGTTGAAGAGGCTTTTAAACTTGTAAGAGAAACAGCTTGTAGAGTCCATTACTTTAAAAAATACAGAGGTGTTTATGAAAAAAAGAGACTTAGACAATGAACCTATGAAGCTCTTTAAACAGATAAACAATGGTTTCTGAATCTTACCAGACTATTTGAGGAAGCACGTATAAACAATGGCTGAAGCTCTTTTTTTTTCTTATGGGTTTTTTGTTTTTGGTTTTTGGGTATTCATGGTGAAGGGAGGGAGGAGAAGGTGGCAGACATGGGTCTACAAATTTTCCCGTCCAATTCATCTTCATCATCTGAATTGGCACTGGATTTTTTGGGCGGTGGCTGGGTTGGTGGGTTTTGGGAGATGGCTAGGTGGTTCTTTGGGCGGCGACGGGAGAGTGGTTGAGAGGTGGGGTTGAGTCGGGAGGGAGAGAGGGTTGGCTAGGTTGGAGAGAAGAGATGAGATTTTTTTTGTTTCTTTTTTTATTCATTTTTTAATGATTTAAAAATTATTTTTAACATGGACATAATTTTTTTATATTAGCTTTTTGTCTACATGGAAGTCCACGTCATCAAAAAAAGGGGTCTCACTTTTGACACGTCAGCATTTAACAGATTTCCTGACGGTCTCGCTAACGAAGGGGGCAATTTGTAGGTTTTCCGTGACGTTGAGTATGTACTCGTAAATGTC